TCTCAGTGCCATTATACACATCTGGCTCTCCTTGTACCTCTCATGTCTCTTCAGTCTTTTCTGACTGTTTCTCCTGGCGTTTTCAAAACTACATTTCACAGGAATCAATCTCCAGCTTCATGATCCTTCTGGTCTTCATTCCCACTGGTTTCTTCTAGCATTTCATTTGCCATTTGCATACTTCTTATTCTCTATTCTCTCTGTGCCTACTTGCCTAGCCCACTTCAGCTAATGCCCATCTTGCATCAACTAATTACTTAGGATTCAGCTCAAATGCACTGACATCATCACTTCATCATATGTTTCTTGTCGTAGCGGTTGTTTATCTTTCTCAAATAGACCAAATGTATCATGAAAGCAAGAAACACATCTGTTTTAGTTACTATTTTATGGGGAGGGGGGATTTTGTAGGCATACAGAGAGTATCTGTTGAGTAAATCAATGTATATTAAAAAAATGAATGAACATGGGGTGAGGTCAACAATGGGGAGCTATGAGTTATCAAAGCTCTATATAACAAGTGACCTTGCAGATTATAAATCATGGACATATTTCACATGGATTTTTACCATGAGATTCAACTGGAGTACAGTATTAGGTCTCATCAACTTAGGTTGTACTAAGTTCATACACTAATACAACTGTCAGACATCTTGGTGGAAGTACCTAGATATGTATATCCCAGGCTTCAAGATAAGACAGCAGGATAGAGCAGGTGGCAAATGGACCAACTAGTCTAAAATACTGCAACTTTCCATGGATACATGATGTAGAGTAATTTGCACAGCTGGATGGACCATATGTGTAAGTGGCTTTTGCTGTTGGCAAGGTTTTGTTTGTATTGTTCTGTTTTTAGGAGTGATTGAGAACTTATGTTCAAAAGAAAAATAAACTGAATGAATAAGGCTTTAACTTGAATCACTCTAGAAAACAGGTTTCCATTCACTGTGTTCCCAGGCAGCTACTAAGATGATATCAGCAGAACAGAGATTGCTGCTGTATGTTTACAATGTGATGATACAGAATGGAGAAAAACAATATATAAAACATGTAAGTGTAACTAAAACACAAAGGTAGTTAGCATATGTTAGATTGGCTTGGTTGGTTTTCTTTTTCTTTCTCTATCTTGCCATTATATTTTTATAAAAAGTAAAAGTACAAAACAGTTTAATAATAATAAACATCATTATAAATGAAAGTAACATTTATTTATTTTTTACCCACTATAAGCCCTCAACTTGAGAATAAATGATGGCATTCATGAAACACCTTAAGAGTGTAATTTTTATTGTAAAGGTTTTTATGATAAGCTAAGTTGAATGTAAAGTGTACTATATATGAATTAGGGTGTTTTCTTTAGAAATAAAGAGTCCTTTTGCCTATTGTTCCTAAGCATAATATTCAGCAATGAATGCATTGACAGTGTTCTAACTATAATATACATTATTTAATAAATAGACTTGTCTGTCAAAAATACTTTAAAAATTAAATAAAATATTTACATTTATATTTATAGATAGCCATGATTTATAAGACAAGCCATACATATGGATGGAGGTAGAATACTCAAAATCATATGATAACAATTATCATAACTTAGTCTTAGAAACATGGTGTGAAAATAACATATATATATATATATATATAAATATGTCTTATGATATGACTTATATATCAGTCTCCCTTCAAATTACAAGATACTCCCTAGTATTAAATATGTGTTCTGTGTCAGTATGCACATTTTATAGTACAAGGTATAACTTATTATATATTATAATATATTAAGTAAACATAAAAATGCTTTTATCAAGTAAATGAGTGTCTTCAAAGAAAGAATGATACAGACATATCATTACACATGCTACTTTATATTCCAAGTGATTTTTAATTTTGATATTATATTGTTTCTTTCAACCTTTGTTGCTATAATTTGTATTTTAAAAAGCAAAACCTTTAGTGGAAGGTAATCAGCAATTAAGAAAGGCTGAACATGCATTAAGAGTAAAGTTTCTATCAAGAATAAATTTAGGAAAGACATATTGAAATAGGCAGAGGATATATATCCTTTAGTTTTGAAAACCACTGCAGTTGGGCATTTGTTTCAAGCCAGTTTTCCTGGACTGCTTGATCTACATACTTGGAATGGGATTTCTGAGAGTAATAGTATGTTTACTTGAGCGCAATCAGCCTGCAATTGAGTGTTATGCGAAAAGGTAATGAGTTCCTCATCTCTGAGTCTCAAGTGTCTCAAAGGAATCAATTGTTACAGTTAGTCCTATTTTTATGTCCTCTTTCCCAAATAAGAATATACATGGAGAAAATAATCATTTTACATGATTAATTAACATCATCATTTCAGTGGAGTTTTAAGAAATTTTACCTTCAAATTTCAGGGCTTTTGCAAAACCAAGGGGACCTTGAAAAAACACAATTTTAAGAGTGGAGTTTAATCATCACCTCTCTGGGACCTGCTCTAGGTTTTGTGGTCTATATAGAAATGTAAAGATTTTAACAGGATTATCAAGGGAATTTAAACAATTAGAAGATGTTCCTAGTTTCTATTGCACAGGCAAGCTTTTTAAATTTCCTTAATTACCAAGTGAATATAAAATGTATTTAAAAGAAAGAAAGTCAATGGAAAGAGGCAGCAGTGGTAACACATAGACATCTGAACTTTTTTGTCCAGATAAAAAGCCTACCCCATGGAAATTCATAGTTTGCCTCATCTGAGCACAAGGACATCTGATTGAGGGATGGCTATGGTTACTACATCAGACACCTTCTGATGTTATTTGTTAGCACTGTATAAAGTGCTAACAGTATAGAAAGCATAATAACAACTACTCTAATATTTGTTATGAGACAATTTCAAAGAATAAGTTTATCATTCTCTCTAGAATTCAGTTTAGGGGTTTATGTTTGCTTGATTTTTTTAATCACTTATTTATACTTCCTATGTAATAATTAACATTAAAGAATATTAAGTATACATCCACTTTGTTTTAGTAATAATCCAACAATTTAAGATAAATCTCTTCTGAATGAAATTTGATAAGACAATGTCTTCTGAGACAGCCTGTCAATCAGCAGGCCATCTGAGGAATGGCCTATTCAATTGTTCAGATTAGTAGCTGATCTAATCAGAGGTCTCTATAACCAAGTTTGATCCAGTTAATAGCTGATCTAATTGGTGATTAATCTGACTAGTGATTGATCCCATCTAGTGACTGAACCAATCCATTGCTAACTGAATCAGTAATTACAATCAAGTCTGTGGTTATTTTTTAGGTCATGGCTGGTTTAATCAGAATTTGATCAATTTACCACATACAGAAGAGTAACTTATTATGTGAAGTGATAGATGTGGCTAGTAAGCTTAATTACTGTGATTAGTTCATAATTAGTACATATATCAAATCATGTTGTATAGCCTAAGACTGTATGCTTGTTTCATGGTGTCTAAATTATAGTCTAGCAAATCCACTAGACTTCAAAACACTGGGAAGTATCTTGATAAGACAGTTACTTTATTAGTTCTTTTTCCTTAACCCTGTTTGGTTAAACTGTTTTATAAAACTATATCTGTGGATATTTTCTAGTCTAAGTATGATTTAATAAATTACTATATAAATGAGAAGTTCTATAAGATATTTCTTAGTCATGCAAAATATTTTATGTATACTGAATAATCAATATCTGTTATCATAGTCATATATCAAAGTATGTTTCCAAAGATTGCTTCAACAAAGTCATCCATTTTTTAGCAATTTACGAAGGCTTTGCATAATGTCATCAATTATAATGCAATAGTAGCTACCACTTTAAAGATGTGCTGTCTGAGGATGAGAGAAGCAGGTGTTGGGAGCCATGACCAAGTGTGAAGAGAGGAACAAAGACTTTTAGCTTCTCTTCAGGTTCATATGACAAAATGACAAACTATGGTCAAACCTTCCTTCTAACTCCCTAAATCTGGATTAAATACACTCATTTCCTTATTCCCTTGAAGTAGAGCAGGTGTAAGTGAATCTATAACTGGATAGACTCCATACACTGTCACAGTTATCTCTACAAAGCCAATAGATTTTGAGAAGAGTCTCATTCACAGTCACTTTCCTATCACCGATAATTTTGGGACTGAGATTGGTATCAACTTTTACTTGAGTAATAGGAGTTATATAAAAGCTGTCTACCTAAAGCTGTAAGAAAACAGATATATAGCAAAGCAGCTAGACTATGTCTTATAAAACATTTTTTTTTCTGTAAGTCAAAAGTAGCTGCTCACATTTTTAAGATGGCTCCTGGTCAACTTATTTACATACCTGCATGTATTTTGGAGGTTAACATGCATACAGTTCTTAATATTTTTCTCCTAGGCCAAATGTTATTTTCATCGATTCTTAGAGCAAAATATTTTATTTCTTTTGTGTTTGAGGTTACTACAAAACTAGTGATAAAATTTTGATATGAATCTTGGACTTAACACTAAATTTTATGCTTCATATTGGATATGAATTATCAGTTCATATTTGTTGAAAAGAAGGAGGATTATGAAGATCACTGATTTTTTAAAAGTAACATACATTTATTTGAAATAATAAAAATTTTAAATATATCAAATCTTGGCCAAACATTAAGGTTTTGTTTTATAGCAAATCAGCCTTGTAGAAGAACTCCAGGTATGAAAAATTATAACTAATGAGATATTTAGCATTAATGTCATCAGAAAGTATTTTCAGTCTGAAAATTAAATGTTTTATTATAATTGTTTACGCTGGATTTTAAATTACCACTACTTACCTGTTTGAATTGATCTTTACAAAATTAAGATTTCATGTTGAAAGTGGCAACACTAAGTAAGCATATTATGTAACAAGTACATTGTTTGCCTAATGGTAATCAGAGTCGTACTGCCAGAGCACTAACAGGAAATCCAAATATTTGACCTTATCCTATTAAAATTATTTTGATAAGGTAAAGTCCCCAAAGCGAATTTCACTTACTTTGCTTTTGCTTCTGCATCTTCATAAGCTTTGTTAGAAACATCATCCAGTCCTCCAATCAAATGCTTGAATGAGCTGTCAGAGTAAAATCAGAGTGATCAAGTTAAAAATCTTCTGCAAAGTCAAAATAATGGCAACCTGTCATTTTAATAAAAGTAACTTTAAACAATTTAGACACATTACTAAGAAATACATTAGGCAGCAGAATTTCCTCTGATTGGATGAGGTCAGGGACTTCTTCTATCTGGTCAAATTCTATACACCTAATCATATTTAGCAACCATTTCTGGCTATGTATGTATATATATATATATATATACATATATATATATATATATATATGTGTGTGTGTGTGTGTGTGTGTGTGTGTGTGTGTAATAAATCTTAGATTATGCTAATTGTGAGTCAATTTCTTATCAAACTGAAATCACAACAACAAAAAGTCTGCCAATGAGGGAATGCTTACTCTGTCAGTTAACTAGCATTTGTTTTTATAATCTTGATGCAATCTCTGAAAGACAAGCAGCAGAGGCATCTCTATTGAACAGAAAGTAAATAATCATATAGGCAAAGTAAGAATTATAGAAGAATTACAACATTTACAAGGTGAAAAAAAAAAAAACCCTCACTTTGCTATGAAGAGGAAGATCAACTATTTAAAAACAATCTATTCAATATTTCCTATGTACCTGGAACTGTCTTTAGATTTACTTTATATAACAAAGTATCATCTATCATACACTTAAAATATGAAATGTTACAAAGAAAAAACAATGAATATACACATAGTAGAGTTCCCTTGAAACTTACTGAATGGGACCAGATACAATAACTCTTTCACACATGACATTTTGGCAACCACTGAGATAGAGTGGATGAGAAACACAAAGGAAACTCAACAGAAGTCTATCTGGAATATCAATCACATAATAACCAGAACTTCGCAGTCTCATGTGGTTCTCATAACTTTAGTAGGTAGTAGCTCCCTGGAGGAAATGACTCATGTGAGCTAGGTCCTTGATTTTCTATCCAAGTACATAGAGTCAAGTTACCATGGACCAAACCCTCTGAAGTACTGAATTAATCTTTCTTTCCTTAAGTTTTTTTTTTCTCTCTCTCGGGTATTTGATCACTGTGATAAGAGTAATGAATATACCAGGCCTTGCTCAGTGGTGACTAGAACTATACAATAATATTGCAAGTTAGTATCACCTGCATTTTATTGGTGGGTTTGTGATAGAGTTAGAAGCTCAACCTAAATCTTATACCTAGTAAATGTGATGGACCCATGGGAAGGAAATGATCATTCTCCTTCCTATTAAAAAATCTATACTCCTTTTCAAATCACCATGCTTTGAAGACAGTGATGAAAAACTTTAGGACTATATAGGTTCTTAATAGGGACTTTTAAGGTATCATATTAAATTATAATTCTATACCCCTATAATGTTGTGTGTGTGTGTGTGTGTGTGTGTGTGTGTGGTTGTGTGTGTTCACATGTGAAGTCCAGAGACTGATACCAGATGTCTTCCTTGATCTTTCTCCACTGTTATATATTGACACAGGATCTCTCCCTTGAGGACGGAACTTGATTTGTTTCTCAACCTAGCCAGTTTGCTCTGGGGAATCTACTTTAAGCACAGGGATTCCAGATAGGCTTCTATGCCAGTCCTGGATTTGTGTGAGTACTGGGGTGCTGAACTTCAGTTCTCACACTTTCCTATCAAGCATTTTACCTTATGTGTACTCTCCCCTGTGACATCTGTACAAATACTCCTTTTGGAAGTACTGGGGATTGAATCCAGGGTCTCTTACATTTGAGACAAACTGTGAAACATTAAATCACACCCACAGTCTTTTCATAATCTTAATCTATAAAGGACATGCATTTTGAGCATCAAATAATAAATTATGCATAGTCAGTCCCTGAAACACAGCAGAAAATTTGATGATTTAAATTTCAAAGTTACTTAACTGCTTTCACTTATAATTACTTTTGCAGAAAATTATAAAGAAGACTAGAACAAGGGAGGACAGGCAGCTGTTATCCCAGATCTCTGGTGATAATCCATCTGGGATCCTGGGTTGCTGCTATGCTGTGCTCAACACAGTCATGTTGATACACAAAAGGAGGAGACTGAAAGGAAGTTTTGAGACACAGGCCCAGGAAATCAAGAATCTCATTCCAATATATGAAGTTTAATGTAATAAAGTTATTAATTTATACTGAAGGAAAAGGCAGCAGTCTAAATTTTTTCAAATGTTACCAACAATGAAGTAAATGCTATGTTCCCTGTTATTGAGAAAAAGTTTCAAATGTGATGTCAGACATTTTCCCTTTGTTATATTTTTGTTTATGTCTGTTTTAGTTAATTAATACAGTATTATGTTTTATTTACTTTTTTATCACGAATGCCTTTGCTTTTTGTTACACTCTACTGAAGCTGGAGACACGAAACAAAAACCTAAATTTTCACTCAAGAGCATAAAATGTTAGCTTTTCTTTTTTCTTCTACTTGTTATTGAAAATAGATTTTTTTCTACATAATATATCCTGATTACAGTTTCCCTTCCCTCTACTCCTCCCAATTTCTTCCCACCTCCACTCCCATCCAATCCATTCCTTTTGTCTCCCATGAGAAAGCGGGCTTCTGAGGGATAACAATAGATTAAAATACAATATAATAATAAGCCCCAAAACTAACATTGAATTGGATGAAACAAATAGAGGAAAAGAGCTCAACTCACTGACCCAGAGCCCCTGAACTAACATGGGTGTTAGTTAGGAGCACTGGGCAGTCTATGTGGCCTCTGGTAGTGGATCACTATTTATCCCTAGTATAGGAATGGACTTTGGGAGCCCATTCCCCATAGATGGATACTCTCTCAGTGCTAGACACATGGGGGAGGGCCTAGGCCCTGCTCCGAATGATATGACAGACTTTGAAGATTCTATATGGAAGGCCTCACCCTCCCTGGGGAGCAGAAAAGGGATGAGTTGGGGGGTGGGGAGGACAAGGGAGGAGGGTAGGGTGAAGGAACTGGGATTGACATGTAAAATACGCTTGTTGAAAATTAAAAAAAAAAGTATTATCAAAGGGGGGGAAAAAAAGAGCGCTCAACTCAAAACACGGCACAAGAATCAGAGACCCACTAGTTCCCACACTCCCATTAAAACATTGAACTGGAAGCCATAACATATTCCGAAGGCTGGTGAAGACCTGAGCAGGCCCTGTGCATGCTGCCCCAGTGTCTGTGAGCTCATGTGTGTTTGGGTCATGTTGATTTAGAGGTCTTGATTCCTTGGGGTCCCCCATCACCTGTGGCTCTTAGACATTTTCTGCCTTCTATTCCACAGCTTTCCCTGAGCCCTGGGAGAAGGGATTTGCTGGAGACATCCTATGCAGTTCTGAGTGTCCCAAGGTCTCTCACTCTCCACAATGTCTGCTCCTATCTGTTCCTATCTGTACAGGAGGAAGCTTCTCTGGTGGTGGCTGAGCAAGGCACTGGAATATAAGTATAGCAGAATATCATTGGGGGTCATTTTATTGCTACTTTAAAAAAAAATGGTAGTATTTGGTTTTACCCATGTCCCTGGGCTCTCTAGTTTGTTTTGAGACAATTTTTCAACACTAAAGCCTAGAGTTTATTATGCAGCAAACATTGTCTTGAACTCATCATGACCCTTCTCTTTCAGCCTTCTGGCTGGTAGTATTCTGCGTGTGTGTCACTACACCTAGCTATTCTTTATATGACTAAATTTCTTATTTTCCCCAAAAATGTATTGGTCCGTAACTAAACTTGGAGAAAGTGTGATTTCAGAGACACCCTAACTTTAAAAAATGGGCTTAGTTACACAGTGAGTGACATGTGACCAAGGGAGTGTCTTTCATTTGTTCTCATTGTAGCTGTGTTATTGTTTAGAGTTAGAGTCATTAAAAAGCTAGGATTCAATATTATTTTAACTTTGCATCACTGTATACATATTTAATTTTATCTTTTAAAACTTTAAGCAATATTTTATACTTTAACAGTGACTAGGTCACTGTATGTATATATGTCGTAGACTATCTATGAATCTCTGATACCATAAACAATCACACACAGGCACATACACAGTGAACCAGGAAGTATGCTAACTGTGTACACAAATATCTGTACTCATGCACATTGAATAATTATTTCCTAATAAAATGGTAAATCCTTTAAAACAGAAAGTCAACTATTACATGTGGGTGAATTTTTTAAAAAGAAATGAAATAGAGAGACCTAACTGCCATGAGATATTATTTTAAGATGTGTTACGTTTGTTTATGCTGTGGAATATTTGTTTAATGATGCAAAGATGTGTTACATTCCTTTGTGTTGCATTTGTTTAACTCTGTAAATATGTGTTACTTTGCCTGTCTAAAACACCTGATTGGTCTAATAAAGAGCTGAACGTCCAATAGCAAGGTAGGAGAATGGATAGGCGGGGCTGCCAGACAGAGAGAATGAATTGGAAGAGAAGGGAGAAGGGATAGGTTTGAGAGAAGAAGAGGATGCCAGGGGCCAGCCACCAAGCCACACAACCAGTCGTGGAAAAAGAAGTAATAAAGGTGTATAGAATAGAGAAAGGTAAAAGTTCAGTGTCAAAAGACCGACAGGATATTTTAAGAAAAGCTGGCTAGAAATAAACTGAGCTAAAACCTGGCATTCATAAGTAAGAATAAGTCTCTGTGTATTCATTTGGGAGCTGGGTGGCAGGCCTCCAAAGAGCAGAGCAAACAAAACAAATAGACAAACAACCAAAAATCCCAACTATACCCATCAGTAAGGACTTTATGAAGACGTCAAAATTTCAATAAATAACTAAAGATACATAGATAAGCTTTGTGGTAGGATTACAGAATCAGTTAATAAACTTATTTGTTGACCAATTAATTTACTTAGTTTGGACAACTGAACGGAGGGGCTTGCACATCAAGGTAGGGTTCTTTACAGCAAGTGAGGAAAATGGTGTTATTTGAATGTAGAACTACAAATGTAAAAACACATTAGAAGAACAAATCTCAAGTCTCCTGTGTGTTTAATAC